AAGAAAAGATTAATGCTAAAGCTACACGGAGCATGTCAAACCAGCTTAATTCAATTCTATTCTATCTTTTGTGTAAAATTTCGACATGTATGACATTCTTCAGTTTCGACCCGACTAGGCACTAGCTTGGTTCTAGATCTCCTCCTCTACATGCTGCTACTGGACTATCACAATGCAGTCATAGGGGTAGTGGCTTTATTTCCAAAACCCGAATGCTAAGCAACTTGTGGCTTTGGTAAATCATTCTCTGCCAAGCACAGGCTTTGATTTGGCTCCAAACATAGGCTTAGAATTGACACACTCAAAACAATTTTTCTTTTATCACATCAAGATTTTGCACGATCTGAGCCAGCAACCCCAAGAGTTGGTGTACAAACGATGACAATCCAACAAAAGATCAAAGATACACCTTCGTGGCTTTATTGCCATTTCACAAATACTAACATGTATGAATAACGCTAATCAGTGATTGTCATCAATCTAGATAACGGTGAGCTCCTTGATTCATTCTTCAATAAAATCATTACGTATTTTAATGCATTGACAAATAAAATAAAGGTCACTGTCACCTAGACTGATGATGATCAACATTAATGATAAATGATATTACTCATACATCATTCAATGAAGGCATGCCAAACTAGAAACTTCATCGACAAATACCTCCACTTTTAAGAGAGGAATGCACAAGCTGAACTAAATTTCATGCATCAGTGAAAGTGTGTTCCACCGTGGGTCACAATCTCAAAGTTTTTCGCCTTTAAGATAGCTCAGAAGCTACTTTAGGGCCATTATGTTGGCACCCTGACTCATAATCGAAGTATTCGACAGTGACAACATAGAAAACAATCGAAAATCAAAAGATCATGCAAAATAATCCAATCAAGGTCCATATAACAAGCATTGGACGAAGCAAACAAGTGAAAAGATTCATCCCTCGTAGCCAAAAAGAACACCGAAATTAAGGTTTAAGATAAGCCATAGATTCCTATTATTTATAGACAACCTAAAACAAAATAGTATAAAACAGCCGCATATATCAGTTAAGTAGCTTACACGATATTAATAAGGATCGAATTGTATACTCGTCAAAATTGTGCATCTACAGAAATGCTAGTTAATCACAGACCATCACTACGTAAACCAGCACTGTTACATAAATAACTGGCCAAGAATATTAAGAAGGTAATTAAATAGAGAAAATAGTCGACTCTTTCCCTTCATACAAAAACCATAGAAGATCAAAACAAGAAAATAAGGCTAAAATAAAACATATACCCATATTAATTTGTTTACGACCTCCTCTTCTTATTTGATTTGGTACTATGGTCGTGTTTATTTCTCTTCTTCTCACCCACTTGGGACTCTTTTTGCTTCCCGTGCTTTTCTATCTTACTTTTATTTGATTTTACACTAATGACACCACTGGTTGAGATCTTTCCATTTTGCAAAGCTTTCTCAAAATCAGCTTCTTTGTCTGAGATGGCGTACTTTTGAAGGCGCTCTGGGTTCAGCATACCATCTAGCTTGGCTTTCATCTCATCCTAAATACAGTCTCGTGTGAGGACAATCTTCGAAAGAGAGGGACAGTTACAACAAATAAGCTGTACTTACATTATCTGTTAGTTGAGGTGCAGTAGTATCAATCTCTTTCGTTGCAATACCATACAAGTATTTGTGGAATTTCCTCATAACTTTCAGGTATAAAGATAATATTTGCTGTCCTTCCAACTTCATCTCTTTCTACAAAACAAAGGGACAAAAAGAAAATGAACATCCACATTGAAGACAGTTTCAATATTACTAAAGTTCACGTTGTTGAAACAAAGTGTTAAATGTAGAGAATAAAGCAACATACAATCCATAGTTTGATGTTGTTCGGTTTATAAGACTACATGAACAGTAAGAAACAGAAACAAAAGTTTTCTGTGTGAAAGTTGAATATTAAACAGGAGCTTATCTCGCCTAGTCACCTACTTACCCAAAACACACAACCAATGATGTAGCAACCCATAAATTTTATAGACAAAAATTTACTTATTTTGTATATTATTTAAATTTCTATTTTATCTGGGTCAAATAAATTAGATTTTGATAGAACAATTATAAGTATATCAATATTGTACTCGTTGGATAGCTCGTAATTAATTAGAAGTCTTTGACTCGAGAAGTCACCTACTTACCCAAAACACACAACCAATGATGTAGCAACCCATAAATTTTATAGACAAAAATTTACTTATTTTGTATATTATTTAAATTTCTATTTTATCTGGGTCAAATAAATTAGATTTTGATAGAACAATTATAAGTATATCAATATTGTACTCGTTGGATAGCTCGTAATTAATTAGAAGTCTTTGACTCGAGAAAAAGTTATTTTAGATAATGACACATTAAGTTAGACCCAATTGAAAGAAAATGGTATAAATGTAATTTTATATAAATTATAAATCAATTTATTCTCTCTCCAAAAAGAAAACGTGCAACAAAATTCACTATACACCCATATACGATTGGATAGAGACACTGGACATCTTGTAGTTGAATAAGATAATAATAAAGTACATTGTGAGTAGACATTGGTTGCAAGATTTAGCCCGATCAAATCAAATTTTGGTTTATCTACCCTAGCTCACACCTATATATATATAGGTATGATGAAAAGTTTTGCTCATACCAATTCACACATACGGTAGGTAAAGAGAGAGAGACAAAGGAAGAGAGAGAGAAGGTAGCATTGGAAATAAAGTTTGCATACATTGAATATTTTAATCACGTATTTTTTCAAAGCGGAGAAAAAATTTTGAACGTGCTTCAGATTTTTCTAATAAGGTAAGATACTTTAAGTGCAAGTGTTTTTGTTTCCTTATGCGTTTATGTCCAATAAAAATGCATGGATTGCCAGTAGACATTCATTTTTTTAAAGAGAGATGAAATCCTACGGGGTTATAAGAGGACTTAAGATGGGTGTGTCGCTTGGTCATCGATATACTCCATAAGATCAGATGATATGAATTGTAATTTTTATTGTTATATATATGTATATGAAAACTGCACGTATCTTACTGAGTGTTTTCGAATACTCACTCTTACAAATTTTTACATGTTAGTTCGAGTCGATTGGAATTGTGGAAGAACGGTGATGTTGGTTGCAAGTAGATCAAATGAAAAGAAAAATAAATGAGTTTGTCATCTTTAAATTTATCAATTAGTTAAAATTTTGTTCCAAACGTGTTATTTGAATTAGTTAAGAGTTTATGTTATATTTAGATAGAATTTTCATAATTTAAATTTAGATTTATAAATGTTGTAGTTATTTGTTTAATAAAAAATTTTATAGTTCTACACTTAAAATAAAGAAAAATGGGTTTTTCGCAACGTTCCGGAGTTTATAGAAAATTGGGGCGTTACAAATGATGCACCGATACGGACACGTGTCCGACACGATACGTGTCGGATACGTCGACACGTGATTTTTTCAAAAAAGTATGGACACAACATGTCATCGACACGCTCATTAAAGTCTTTAAAAATCTTCATTTATATAGTATATATTTAGTTTTACACTTGTTAATTTTTTTTGTTGAAATCTTTTAAATAAGAGTACGAAGTTAAAAATATATAATATTTTTAATAAACAATGTAAAATGTTTATGGTAGAGTGTCCGAGGAGTGTTGGAACCGACTCGTGTCGAACACGGACATGCGACCCTAATTGAAGTGTCCGTGCTACAGAGCACACAACTAACAATACTTCTAACCAAAATTCCCTTGCACCCAAATGGTCCCTTCTTTAAAGTGGAAGAAAAGAGCATAAACACTCAAACGAAGGATTCTACTCTGTAATTTGATTGTGAACGAGTTACTAAATAAATAGCCACGCAAGTGGCCCTTATGTGAAGCACGAATCCGAATTCAAGCAACACGACAGAATAAGAAATCTGATGTTATTGATCTCGACATAAACCAAATATATTGATAACTCCCATCTTTATCCAGTTAACAGTTGCATTAACAAATGATAAAATAATGAAGAGAAATGAAGTATACCTCTATATAAGGGATGTCTTTATTCTGCAAGCCAATGCAGAGCAAAACAGAAGCTTGTGCATATGACAGTGTAACTGGAATCTTCTCCTCGAAATATTGACATGCAAGAGCATTCTTACAAAAATCAATCTGAAGATTCAAAATGATTTACAGATTAGCATTATAAATCCACAAGATGTCAAAAAACGGGGTAAATATTTATAAAAATAAAGGCAGGTCATAGACGAAAAGGGCGTCCTAATATTTGCTCGCAAATTTTTCTCATCAATTCAAATAATTACGGATACCCCTTTCAGGCAAGCAATTTCAGTGGAAAGTGCAACAATACAATAAATTGTAACATTATCAATTTAATTTCTCAGATTTTTTACTCCCAAAAATAGGAAGATAGTGACTAAAGATCCAAAACTGCTCATGGAAAGTAGTAGAGGAGATTGCACAGAGAAGACGCCATAAAATATAGAAAGATGTTCATCCATTTTAAAATGTCTACGTCATCAAGGTGAGTATTAGAGACTGGATCGACTCGATTGATAACTCGTTGCTTAAATTGGTATTGTACCAGAAGTGATACAATACATTATAATAGTCCACAATAGGTATTAGGAAAGAGATAAAATTAGCAACCAAAACTGCTGACAGATAGCAGTAGAGGAGATTGCACAAAGAAGCAAACTCCACAAAAATAAAAAGATATTCACATAGTTCTCAACGTCTATACATGATTAAGAGAAGCATTACAACAGGATAAACTTGTTTGCTACCTCGTTATATAAACTGATATCAACAAGTGATATGACAGTACAATTGTCCCCATTCCCCAATAAATATTGAGAATAGGCGAAAAATAAGCTTGTAGAGCAATTATACCTTGCTTTATATATATATATACACACACACACATACACACACTTTCCTATTTTCCTTTGACCATAAATGCTGCTAATGTTGAAAAATAGCATGGATTCATTGCCAAATTTAATAATTATGTAGATAGATCAGCGAATGTTCTCTTAGAGAAGGGAATCATTGGTATAGAGACATCTCTTTCATTCAACGAGAACAAGAATATGCCAATTCTTCCATTTTTAACTCAATGCATTTTAAAATTGAAGATACCTATTTGAACTTTCAAGAGGTAACATTGACAAATTACTCAGATTTTCCAAGAATTACAAGACATCAAAGAACAAGAAACAATGGGTATTAAGATGACAGAATACCAACCTGAAGATATATAAAGAAAAAAGAGCATGAAGATATGTTGAAGATCTAATGGAAGCAAGCAAAATGGAAATGATGGCAACATCAATTACATGTTTTCATTATTCCAGATAGGTTTAAACTCATGGCCGATGGGGATTCTATATGATGAGGGGTAGTGTTTATTGTTTCTTGCAAAAATAGCAGCAGAGGTACCAAAGTTCGACCTGTATTTTGCTTTGGTCCTCAAACTTCAAAAAGGAGCAATTTAGTCCCCAACCTCCCTTTTTGGTACCACTTAGATTAATAATGATAGATTTTACTTAATCCTCAGTTAACAAGTCAAGTTTATTTAATGCCAGATTTATCCTTATCAAATAAAAAAATTTGAAAAAGAGAGAGAAAACAAGACAAGAATAAACAAGATAATAGTTTATCGTTTTTTGTCCTCTTCACCAATTCACCCCAACAAATCAGGTCAACCACTTCTTTCCAGAGGAGCCTCCGCAACAATGATGGACAAGGAGCTTGCAAGCAATTATAAAGAAAATAGGCTTGTTGATATTGTCACAAAGTCTAGTTTCGTTCCAATAGCAGGAGATGAAATGGTAAGCATGTCAGATACACAGAGAAGCACCCTTCACATTTAATTTGATGAATTTTGGTCTAGTTCCGTAAGATAAATTTCGGAAGACAGAGTTTGAAAAGGGCAACGGCATTTCTACTGCCATTGTCTCTCCACCCCATCAAATCAGCAGCCACTGTTTTCTGTTGCCGATGATATATCAGCAGCCTCCTCCAACACAAGCTGATAAATATCCATGTAACACCTGTATCGAAACACGTATTCCCACTTCATATCTCTTGACCGCGTCCCAACACCAGACAATTGATAATTGCTAGACCAACTCCAGCACCATCTGCTATCGCCAAGAAACCAGTCTCGGATCCTATGTCTTCCCAAAGAAATTCCCAACCCTCTAAATCTCCATTGGCTTCACCTTTTGCTCTTCCCACTTCCACTGCCGATGGATCTGTCGGGGCAGCAATTAGTTAGGTTGAACGGTTTAAATTGAGGTTAAGGTGGGTAGGAACTGGACTTCTCTTTATTTTCTCCATTCTTATTTAACACATTTTTTCCTGATTTCTTTTTCTTTATCCTTTCTGTTTTATTCTTTGTTTACTTAAAGATAAGGATAAGATTGTCTTGTTAATGAAACTTTGACTTCATAATTAGGCATAAGGTCGAAATCATCTACTGGGACTTTACTGCTACCAAAATGATAAGTTAGGTGTGTAAAAGCTAGTTTTCGAATAAAAGGGATCAAAGTGCAACACAGGTCAAAGGTAGTGAACCTCTGCTGTTTTTTTTTTTTTTCCATTATGCATTAAACCTTAAATTTAGGATAAGTTTCATCAAAAGTGGGGAGAATGCCTCAGAATGCTAAGCAAGAATTTAGCTTTAACATATGAAACGTCTGGAGCAAATTTGATGAAATTTAGGCTGAATCAATAGTTTTGTGTATACAGAAACCATGGTTTTAACTGATGAATTAATAGCGGCTGAACATGGATCCTTTTCGGAGACCATGGGATCATGCATTAGTTATCCTAAAAATTCAGGAATCACAAGTAGTCTAAGAGAAACCAAGTAGATGCTTATAGGCATATTATGCCTTGCAGGTTCTTCACGTCATAAATATACACATTTTGCCAGTATATTTTGCGAATAGCAAGCGATTTCTCTTATTTTTATATGTTGAAACTAACAATTTAGTAATCTTATCTCTGGAAAGAAGAAAATTCAAACCTCATTCAAACGAGACACCAAACCAGGAGTACCTGATACATTCAAGATCATACACAGCAAAAGTATATTAAACATTGATGACACATTACCTTCTCGTAGTTGGCTAGATTGTTTACATATGCTTCCAGTCGCATCATAAGATGGGGGTCTGAAATTAAAAAACCATTGGAAGAGGACAAGGTAGGGTCCACCAGATCCGAGAAGTTTAGCTTGGGATCCAAAATACTGCAAATACAGAAAAGCGTAAGGATACCAGAGAATCATTTAACCAGCTGAGAAAGCCAAAGTATACCAGTCACACCTCATCGCAAGCTTGTATTCCATTTGTCGGAAGGTAGTCGACAGTAGTCGAATGAAAATATGCCTGAAACCTGACAACAATTTAAGAAGATAAATATTTGAACTGAAAAATCGAAATTAGTTATGGAAACTTCCTTTTGATTAAGGTAAAAAGGATATTAGACCAACCTTGGTAAAAAGGCCGAATAAATCCCATCGGATCTGATCCACTAGTTTCAATATCATCATTATTCAATGGTTTCAGAACCATGCACGAGTGTTCACCAGTGACATTACTCTGGTTTAGAAAATGCCACATCAGACCATAGACTAATTTTTCAACTTCACATAGAGAAAATTGAAAAAGAAATAAAAGGTAACAACACAAAGACGGAAGCAAAGAAACTTACGGGAATGGAGCCAATGAAGAACGGAGAAAAATTGTGTTTCCTCCAAAAGCGGAAAAGATCCAGAGTAAGCCCAAAAGATACACCAATATAATGGAGCTTTTCTGGCCGTCGTTCATGAAGATGTACAAGCAGAGGAGGAAGGTCCGTCCTAGGCTGTATTTTTTCTTCCAGCAAAGAGGCCTGCAGCAGTTTAAATTTTAGAGCCGGGCTACACTTGTTTACGAAAGGTAAAAATTCCCAGCAGACATTTTTCACAAAAATGACAGTAAACCAATATTTTTTGTTCTGTAAATTCTCTAATTCTTTTAAGATATGTAAGGTTTTGAAAAAAAATTCTGCAAATTCTTCAGCATCGGGGTTGCATGCTACAGTACCATTTCTTTGAACAGAACCCAACACACCCAAAACTAGTAGTAGTTAACACAAGCTATGTCAACTAGATAGATCAATTGATGAATTATATTATCGAAGCGATAAAATTCTACAAAAGAGAGAAGAAAAAATGTAAAACAAGTACCATGACATGTGTTTCGCAGGAAAAGAGCTAAAGTTCAAAGATGTATGACAAGCCATGACACGTAATAGACAAACTATGAGAGATACCTCTGCAGCCTCAACTACTCTGACTTGAGGGGTATCCTGACCTTCCTCAGCATCCACTTCAGATAGTGAAGACAACTGACCCTCAAAGTACCTATAAGGAGTTATTGAAGTGTCAAATATCAAGAGTCCACGAACACTAATGCATCAGTTATCAATATGGATCCAATTATGGACGGATTCCCTAATTACTATTCTCCTTTCCCCTCCCTTATTCCATTTCCTAGTTAAGCATGATAGAGGAGTGATTATTCTAATTGTAGCATAATTAGTGTAATGACTAACGTGATTAGTGTAATGGCTAAGATTGAGCCTTGTAATTAGAAACACACACAGTATATAATGCAAGTAACTCTCGTTTGGAGAGGCATTCAAAATTAAATCGAGTTTTATTGACATGGTATCAGAGCCTTCACTCTAAAAAGAAGGCTTTCCTAGTATTTTTTTGGGCTTGACTATAAAGCTCAAAATCATTTTTTTGGGGACTTACCTGGCGGATCACTCACTGTGGTAGCCGTCAAATCTCTGTGCAATCTATGTTAAGGAGTTGTTGGGGCTGAAATCGACGTGAATTCTGCCCATCTCTGTGTCGTCGAGTCCGACTGATTGTGTTGGAGAAACTTGTGGTTGGCAGCGATCACTCCTATTTCCAGTTTCGGTGGACGGGCTCATCTCTGTGAGACGACTTTTGTTGCCGGCGATAACTGTCTTAGGTTCAGTCGGAGTTCTCTGACGTCGGGAAGGGGGGGACAGCGAATCGGCAATCTTGGCTTCATTCCAGTCTTCCTTCGTCCTTCGTGGTTGATTGTTAGGGCTTGGGGCTTCATTCCAGTCTTCTTCGTGGTGGATTGTTCGGGTTTGGGGGAATTACCAATTGGCCTTTTATTTCTAATTGGGCCAAACCCACTAGCTGAAATGTTCTCTATTCAGGTGTGTCTTGGGCCAAAATAAATTGGGCTCGAGGTAATAAACTTATTGCCACGAATTAATATCTGTTGGGCTTGTATGTTATTTTTTTTAATTATATCTACTGGAAATTCAGAATTTTTTGGTGTGAAACTCACTGGGAAAAATTATTCTGCCTGGGAATTTCAATTTCGTTTATTCGTTACTGGGAAGGAATTGTGGGGTTATATTGATGGAAGTGATTCTACCCCCACGGATCCTATAGAATTGGCAAATTAGAAAATTAAAGATGCTCGGGTTATGACTTGGATTTTAGCATCTATTGACCCTATGATTGTTCTAAATCTAAGACAGTACAAGACTACTAAGAGAGTGGGAATATTTGAAGAAAGTATACCACCAGAACAATACAGCACGACGATTTCAAATGGAGTCGAAAATTGCTAGTTATTCTCAAGCTGATAAATCCATTCAAGAGTATTATTCTGGGTTCCAAATCTCATGGGTAGAATATACCGATATGATTTATTCTAAGGTGCCAGATGCCTCTCTTGAAGCAGTTCAAGAAGTACATGAGCAGAGCAAGAGAGATCAGTTCTTAATGAAGCTGCGGCCTAAGTTCGAGGCAGCTCGATCTAGTTTGATGAATCGCGATCCAACTCCTTTTTTGGACGTGTGCTTCAGAGAGTTACTTTAGGAAGAACAACGTCTTGCTACACAGGCCAATTACCAGCAAGACAAACCACCAATTAATGCGGTTGCCTATGCTGCTCAAGGGAAAGGTAGGGTTAAAGACATGCGAAAGGTCCAATGCTTTAGCTGCAAGGAATATGGACATATAGATGTCCACCGTCGAAATAAATATTGTAACTATTGCAAGAAATCAGGGCATACAATTAAAGAATGTACGACTCGTCCTCAGAACCGTCAGGCTAATGCATATTAGGCTACAATTAGTACTTCCCCTCCTAGCAACTCATCTGTCCTTACTCCTGAGATGGTTCAGCAAATGATTATTTCGGCCTTTTCGTCTTTGGGCCTTCAAGGTAAGGGTTCTCTACCATCATCATCATGACTTGTTGATTCTGGTGCATCGACTCATATGACTAGTTCTTCTGATACTCTTAGCAATATTCGAACATATAAGGGATCCTCATACATTCAAACTGCTAATGGTAGTCAATTACCTATTTATGCTGTTGGAGACATTAACTCCACTATAAAAGATGTTCTCGTATCTCCTGCACTTTCTACTAGTCTTATATAAGTTGTTCAGTTGGTTGATAATGACTGTGACGTTCAATTTTCTCGTGATGGCTGTATTGTGCAGGATCAGGTGTCGGGGAAGATACTCGTGAAGGGGCCTAAAGTTGGTCGATTGTTTCCTCTGTTATTTTCCAATCCACCAGTTATTTCTATGGCTTGTAATAAAGTTAACAATAAGAGTGAAATCTGGCGCACACGTTTGGGTCATCCTAACTCTGTTATTTTATCTCATTTAATAAACTCTGGCTTGTTGGGCAATAAAGATCAATTTTCATCTTATGTTTCTCTTGATTGTTCCACATGCAAATTACGTAAAAGTAAGTCTCTTCCCTTTCCTTCTTAAGGTAGTCGGGCTGAAAGAAGTTTTGATCTGATTCATAGTGATGTGTGGGGTATGTCTCCGATTATATCTTATGCACATTATAAATACTTTGTCACATTCATTGATGATTATAGCAGGTATACTTGGATCTAATTTCTTCGTTCTAAATCTGAGGTGTTTTCTGTTTTTCAACAATTTATCACTTATGTTGAAACTCAATTTTCTTCGAGCATTAAAATACTAAGGTCTGATTCGGGAGGAATATATGTCTCTAAAATTTCATGATTTCCTTCACCAAAAGGGCATTGTCTCCCAACATTCTTGTCCCTATACACCAAAGCAAAATGGTGTTGCTAAATGTTCATTTGTTAGATGTTGTACGTACATTGCTATTAGAATCCTCAGTTCCACCTAAATTCTGGGTTGAGGCTTTATCTACGGCAGTCTATTTGATTAACCTATTGCCTTCAAGTGTTCTGAAATTTGAAACCCCTTATTATTGCTTGCATCATCAACACCCAAACTACCTTGACATGCATACCTTTGGATGTGTCTGTTTTGTTCATTTACCTCCACATGAACGAAACAAACTTTCCGCTCAATCAGTTAAATGCGCGTTTATGGGTTACAGTATTTCTCATAAAGGATATGTTTACTATGATCCATGCTCCAATAGATTTCGTATCTCTCGTCAAGTTGTTTTCTTCGAAAATCAACATTTCTTTCCCACTCATGTGAGCCTTTACCGAAGACACCTGCCCTTCCACATTTTGATGAGTTGTCCACTACTCCTAAACGATTCAAGCTTGGATTCGTGTATGAACGACGACGCCCAACTTTGCCCCTTCATGTACCAGACCCGCCATCTGAGGCTGCACAGACGCAACCTTCCATGAATGAGCTAGACTTGGACACTAATATTCGCCATTCCACCAGAACTTCTCGTCCTCTTGATCGGTATGGATTTTCTCATACATATCTTCATGCTACTTTGTCACCTATTCCCATACCTACAGGGTACACTGAAGCAGTAAAACATGAATGCTGGCGAGAAGCAATGGCAGACGAACTTCGTGCACTTAAAGATAATGACACTTGGGATGTTGTTCCTTGTCCTCAGAATGTTAAAGCCCTTTGTTGCAAATGGGCTTATTCAATCAAATTACGGTCTGATGGGACTTTGGATAGATACAAGGCACGATTGGTTGCTCTTGGTAACAGACAGGAATATGGTGTTGATTATGAGGAAACTTTTGCTCCAATAGCCAAGATGACCACCATACGAATGGTTATTTCTATTGCTGCTTCTCAAGGCAGGACGCTCCAACAAATGGATGTAAAAAATGCCTTTCTCCATGGAAATCTCAAAGAAGAAGTTTACATGACACTACCTCCAGACTTAACCTCTAGCTCATCCTCAGAAGTCTATAAGTTGAAGCGCTCATTATATGGGTTGAAACAGGCACCACGAGCATAGCTTGATAAGTTCCGATCTACCTTGCTTCATTATTCATTTCAACAAAGTCAGTATGACTCTTCCTTGTTCCTTTGCAAGAACTCTACCGGTATTGTTCTCCTCATCTATATTGATGATATTGTAATTACTGGAACGGATTCCGCTTTGATTACTCGTCTACAGCAGCATCTTGAGGCCTCTTTTCATACGAAGGATCTTGGATCTCTTACGTACTTCTTAGGGCTGGAAGTTCACATACATTCCTCTGGTATTTTCCTGAATCAGCATAAATACACACAAGATTTGATTAAGTTGGCCGGTCTTCAGGATTCATCTACTGTGGATACTCCTCTAGAAGTAAATACAAAGTATCGTTGTGAAGGAGATCTTCTCTCTGATCCTACCGTGTTTCGTCAACTGGTGGGAAGCCTGAATTATTTGACTATTATGAGGCCTGATATTTCTTTCGCAGTCCAGCAAATTAGCCAGTTCAGGCACACTCCACGTCATCTCCATCTAGCTGTCGTTCGTCGTATCATTCGCTATCTTCGAAGCACATCTAGCCGTGGATTTTTCTTTCCTACCAGGTCTTCTCTTTGTCTTACTGCTTATAGTGATGCAGATTGAGCTGGTTGTCCAGACACCCGACATTCTGTCACGGGATGGTGCATGTTTCTTGGTGATTCTCTGATATCTTGGAAAAGTAAGAAGCAACATCGTGTCTCTAAGTCATCCACTGAATCTGAGTATCGGGCAATGTCTGCTGCTTGTTCCGAGATTATATGGCTTCGGGGGCTTCTTGCTGAACTTGGTTTTCCTCAATCTGGTCCTACTCCACTCCATGCCGACAACACAAGTGCCATTCAGATTGCTACTAATCCGGTTTACCATGAGCGCACTAAGTATATTGAAGTGGACTATCATTTTATTCGTGAAGCTTTGGATACTCGTGTCATTTCTCTTCCTCACATTTCCACTGCTCTTCAAAAAGCTGACATTTTCACAAAATCGCTGACCCGAAATCGTCATCAATTTCTTTTAAACAAATTGACACTTCTTGATCGACCAGCATCAATTTGAGGGGGGATATCGATATGGATCCAATTATGGACGGATTCCCTAATTACAGATTCCCCTTTCCCCTCCCTTATTCCATTTCCTAGTTAAGCATGATAGAGGAGTGATTATTCTAATTGTAGCATAATTAGTGTAATGACTAACGTGATTAGTGTAATGGCTAAGATTGAGCCTTGTAATTAGAAACACACACAGTATATAATGCAAGTAACTCTCGTTTGGAGAGGCATTCAAAATCAAATCGAGTTTTATTGACATCAGTATATGTGAATAAGCAAGGGAAAATGCTCATTTAGTTTTATTCTAATAACATGCTAAAAAAATTAAGTGATTCATCTATCAAGGCTTTTCATATATTTGTCGTCTAATTTTCTATAGATTATTAGAAGTGAACTAAATGCAGCCATGAGTGTTTTGTCTGCATAGATAACTAATTTGGAAAACTAACATATTTATGTCAAAATTGTATTTGTTTATTTATTTATTTTTGATAACTTGTTAGAGCCAGTTAGACCTTTTGACCCTTGCCCTTAACATTTTTTGGGTCTATGGCCAAGCTGGTTTTCAAAACATAGACAAGTCAGTAAAACCTCTCAAAGGCTGACACATCTCAAAAGAAGATGCCAAGTCCCATATATCAAGAATCGACTATGGAAGCTACATGGACAACTTTCTCTCTTAGGCTTATTAATTTTGGTAGAGGTAACAAGAACAACGACATCATCTGGAATGGCATTAAAATAGGAAACTTGCCAAGAGTTTTCATATCGAACTTTTTAGGTTGAGGATAATTCTCAAAACTTAAACTGCAGTGCAAACGAAATTTGAGCAGTCATGATTGAAATACCTATTGAAGACAAGCTTAGAAGCAGGCACATGATAGTACATCATATTAACGTCATTTCCCGGAAAATGAAATAAGATGATATAATCCTTCACATGAATGCACAAAACATGTCAAAATGAATGACATGGTTAAAAAAAGCTAGATATTAACAACTTTTTTTGTATTCCACTTTTAACCTTAGATTGTGTTACTTTTACCTGTGAAAGTTTAGAGTTTTTTCTTTTTTCTTTATTCTTTAGTTTATAGTTTTTTCTTTTCTTTTCTTTTCTTTTTTATTTTTTTTTTCTGGATGGTGATGGGGAGAATAAAGAGAACCCTCAGCCTACCCAAAGCAGCATAATTACAGACAGACATAATTCTTGAAGTATATGCTTGGAATATCCAGGTGCCTTGAATTCAAATAATGTAGAAGTTTACTACTTGCACGTCTACCTTCAAAATGAGAAATAGATATAAGTTATTCTTTCCGCATCCCAAAACAAAATTAGTACAACTAAGTATCCAAAAAGGGTATTCAATGATCATAGTGGGAAAAAAGGATTGAGTATATATAAAACATCTTTATCACTATACATTCATGTATTACTGTGATTTTATTTTCCTCGAGCTCCGAAATTTTCAAATTCAAAATGAGTAATTTGTATGTCCTGATTCAGTTATAGAATCAGAAACCAAGAAAGAGAAGGTAGGACTTGAGGAGCAGGGTGCAGCACGATTGAGAGTTTAGATTACAGGCTGGCAGCACTTTGTTGGCATTGGCAGATGCAGCGTAGAGATGAGGTGATTGGGCTCATCTGTAATGTTAACTGGCACAGAATGCAGTCGAGGCACGCTGGACCTATGTATACTACTGGAGGCATCAAGATGGAGATGCTATTATTGGCCAAAGCCTACTAGGCGTGTCCATGAGGTGGGGATTACTAACATCTTCATTCTGTTGGAGCTGGTATTATGATGTGCATTCTAGTTGGAGTTTAGTTGGAGAAAGGAGGTATGGGGAAAATCATTTGTTTAGTTTAGAGATTTAAAGTACTTTTCTCAAAAGAGGAAATAGATAACCATGTTGAAAACAGCCCAAAAATGGAAGGAAGATGTATCCATTGAACACACAGAAATAGTTCATCATCCTGCTTTTTTCAACAAAAAACAGTAACGTGTTTAATAATTAATATAATGTACCAAGTTGTCAAGCATGTAAGCGAAAAGGCCAAAACTTTCTGAGCTTCATTTTTCATTCTTCATGATACATGATATGTTCATCAGTTAATAAAACAACAAAAAGTAATAATATAAAGAAAAAAAATTTATTCCCTTTCTCTACAAGTATAGTGCGCATTCGAACCCTTCACTTTCTTTCATTGAGGTGCGTATTGTCAACTTAATTCATGACAGTACGATATAAGATCAAAACTTTGTGTAGATTAATTAGACTTCGAATTTAAGCTAAATGATTTATTACATAATCAATCTTATCTATAGTACATTTTAGAAGGAAAATAAAAAAGGAAAAAAGTATAAAATTCTATTACTAAAAGGAAAAATATTAAATCCTAACTAGATTAGGAAACAAGCTACAAGGAAATATTTACATAATCCTGTATTCTAACTCTTCTCCTCAAGTTTGTGCATCAATACATCCTAACTTGGATTGTAATGAACATAATGGCTCACTACTTGAAAATTGTGGTTTGACTTTGACTACATCTCCAATTATTAAAAAAACCCCTCTCTACAGTTCAAATTGTCACCTTGGTTAGATTGTTGTGTATGATGGGATACTTGAGATACAAGACAAGCATAAGAAAAGTAGCTTAAGAATCAAGCTCACACGTAGACAGCACTCACAAGACAGTGAGAGATCTTTGAACACGATTGAGGCCATGATCTAGTAGAATCTTAGGTGTACCAAATGGCTGGGTCAACCAATATAAAGGGGAGCAAAGCTCTAAGAATGGTTGCCGGATGGGTATCTGGTAGCGAGTAGTGTAGAAAGGTTGTAGGAACCCTAGGTTGTACCATATGACTACGTCAACTAAGATGGAGGGTTCACACAACTCTAAGAAGGTAGCCAGAAGGTCGCAACACAATAAAAATGGTAGAAATTGAAGAACAATAGATACCACAATAACACATTTGAGAACCACCAAAAATCACTACTAGTAGATAACCCATTTGTAGCAAGAAATTTTCAGTTCAACGATCCCAGGTTTGGTATTTTAGTAATCCCTAGGGGTAAAATTGGAAGGGAAAAAACTCCCCCAGTCAGCAACCACCACACACAAGGGTAAAATTGTGTCGATGAACAGTACCAGTGAAGGAGAAGTTGCAATTTTTGACAGTTTTTTATTTCAGAATTTCATCAATTTTTTGTTGAAATTGAACTAGGTTTGCAATTTTTCCTTTTAGAAAAATAGGAGTTTGAAATTATTTTAGGGTTTTAATTTAAGGCTCAATTACCCTATTTTAGAGCTGTAAAGGCTGCCAAAGTGAATTAGCGGGTTGAGGTTGCCAGAGCGAAATAGAGGGTAGAGGGTCGTCAGAGATCTATAGAGGTTAGAGATCACTGAGCAAGATACGGGGTAGAGGGTCACCGGAGATTTGGTTAAACCAGAAGATTCAACCACCGTTTTAGGGATCCAAAAGAAAGCCAAAGCTCTTATACCAACTTAGAGTTTAGGCCAAATGATTTATTACATAATCAACCTTATATAATAAATAAGAGTACAATCCTATCAATAGAAGGGGAAAAAAGGAGAGAATATAAAACCCTTACTAAAAGAAAAACGCTAATTCCTAACTAGACTAGAAAATAAGCTATAAGAAAATATTTCCATAATCTACCATTCGAACTTTTCTATTTCTAACTATTAGGGATCAATAAATCCCATGAACATCAAGGTTCTTTACATATCACTCATAAGAATATATGATCCTGAAGGATAGAAAAGCAGTATTCAGAATCTAAATTTGAAGAAAGACGAATCTTTGGTAGAAACAAGCATACCTTGTCAATTGTTCGACTGCAACAGAACCGTATCCATGCTGCAATTGGAAAAAGGGTACATAACGAAAGGGTAAAAAACACGTTTGAATCTTTTGTCAAAATTTTCACAATTATTACCCGCATTACAGCTGGATGTGTGGCAATGCGCACAATACGAGCACCAGAAAGACTTGGAAAAACTGTATCCTGAAACTCCTCACAAATTTTCCAAGGTATTTGATCTCCAGCAGGCTGGCGACCATCACTTATGCTTTTAATAGCAGATTTACGAGAAATTTGTCCCTCAAGACACACCTGTACACAGGTCAATATATATATACGAGTTCAAACACAAACAGATCCATTCTTGATATCATGCATACATTCCATTTGTTTCAAGTTTAATGGCTTAATTGACATTTTTGTCAGACTTATTTCATAGCAAAATTCATGTAACTTAATTTATTCCAACACAAAATTGTTCATGTAGTAGCCAAAAAACTGCCTGTTAGAATTTTTTGGTACCATAAAGTTAATTAAATCCAAATGAATACAGCTCTTGCATGGTGCACCAGTAAAACAGTCTGTTATTTTGATACAAAGAACAAACTAGTAGTCTAACCTGGATGACACACAAAATATCAGGCAGATGATTTTGGGACTCGTCAACAGGACCTGTGGAAAATTATTTAAACCAACAGCTAGCAGAGACACATATAAAGTGAACGGTTATGGCGAATACATACCAACTAGTACAAATAAGTGGTGAGCAGGAGCATCAGCCATCAATTGTAAATCATTGGGAGAATTCTTGTAGTGCGAAGCAACATAAAGAGCCATCATTCTCTGCAAATGTCAACTAGTGTGAGAACGAATGTATTAACATCAAACCCAGTAACGAAAGGGGTAAAATACATAAGCATTTAAGAATCCATCTGCTTGTGTGCGTGAGAGTACCTTCTTACACAGTTTCTTATATTACCTGCAAAAATATCTCGCTGTCTTTGTGATAAGAGAAAAGCGTATCTCGATTAACATAGTAGAGATGACATTTGCTGGGATCAGGTGGACTGCAAGAAAAAAAAGATGGGGTCTCAATGGGGAGAAATGAGATTATTCTATATAACTTTTCTAAGGGGAGGAAAAAAATAAAAAATTCCTACCTGCTGATACTGGGGATAGAAGTTGTGACATCCAGACATAATAAAGCATGAAGCCAGGATTCAATTGGATCACCAGAAGCATATCTGATGGGTTCATTTAGTTCAATCTTCTTGAAGAGCCTACCTATATTTGAAGGTAACCAAGCATGTTGATTTACAAACTGAATTTTTCAATATCATATTTGGTATTTAATCTTAGAAAGTAGGAAACACAAGAAATTATACATGTCTGACATGATAGAAAGCTTCTTTTGCTAGAAGAAACAGCCACATTATAACTTGTGTGACATCTCAAAACAATTTGGCATTAATGCAGAATACAAAAGATCAGCTTCCCCTTTAATCATTTTGTGTACTTTCTATATGGTTTTCCCAGTCCAAATGTCCATCAAAAAAATATTTGAGTGCTTTGAAAAACATTTAAGGAATCTCCAGAATATACGCCTCTCTCTAGAAGTCTATCCAGCAGAAGTTACTTAAAAGCATTGTAAAGCAGTTTGAGGCTCATGCCTTAATTACCGCCTAGCTATGCCATAACTCTTATTTGAATTTTACTCGTTGGGGTAGAAAGCTGCTCTTCAACCACTTAAGGCACCAAACGCATTGGTACCATTTGTCAAGACTTGCCCCCCAGAGCGACCGAAGTGTGCACTCATATAACTCATATTACAAAAGTCCAATTACAGAAGACATAAGCAAAAGAACACTGGGTGTTTCCTGGAACTGAATGGATTTTGATATAGAGGTTCAAAGCAAATTATCTTTGAAAGTATGTGCACAAGTAATTAAACATTTTATTAATCAATACATAATACACGGGAAGTGTATTATCAATTTAAAGTAGAAAGGAACAACATAAAATTGGGCAGCTTATCTATATGCCTAGTAGCTGCAGCATTAAATCACGTATACAATGTGAAATAAAACATTTCTCTAATTTGCTCTGCTGTCCGTGTTTGATCATCAAAGCAACGGCTGTTTCTCTCTCTCCACATACACCATACAATGCAACCCGGAATAAGGTCCCATGCAAGCTTGCAATCCTTGTCGCGAAATTTTCTCCTCCGTGCCTTTAACACGTCTTCCATACGTCTCGGCATCACCCAATTCATGTGTTGTGATACCAAAATATTGTGCCACAGTAAACGAGCAGCATCACAATGGAGAAACAAATGATCAATCGTCTCCCCGTCCCTCCGACACATATAACACCACTCTATAACATAAAAACCTCTTGTTCGTAGATTATCCATCGTTAACATCTGTCCCCTGACCACCGTCCAAAGTAAGAATGCAACCCGTGAAGGCAATTTACATTTCCACACCGATTTCCAGGAGAATGAACTCTGCACAGAACCCAGTAAAGATCTAAAATAAGTGCCTACTGAGAAAATCTCATCCCGTGTCAATCTCCACCTACTATAGTCTGCTTCTCCTGTCCTGATGCGGACCTCGTACAAAAAAGTCAAAAACAACGCATAATCGTCCAATTTCCAATCTTGTAATCCCCGGCCAAAAACAATATTCCAATTGATCCTTCCATTATGTATATCTAAGACATCACTCATCGTAGCAGACGGTTTCAACACAATACGAGATAAAGAGGGAAATTTCACCTTCAGCGGTTGCTCTCCACACCAACAATCATTCCAAAAACTGATGGTAGTACTATCCCCCACTACAAAAGTCAATCTATCCTGAAAATCGCTCCACCCTCGCCGGATATATCGCCATAAGCTCACCCAGTAAGAATCGCGATTCTCACCTGAGCACCATCCTCCCTCCATGATACCATATTTTGCCCCTATTATTTCTCTCCAAAAACTCTCCCTCTCCACACCGAATCGCCACAACCACTTGCCCAACAAGACCTTATTGAACAGTACGATGCTCCTCAATCCAAGACCCCTAAACCTTATGGGAGAACAAACTACACCCTAATTAACCAAACGCAATTTCCTCTCCTCCCATAAACCTCCCTAAAGAAACTCCCTTTGGATCCTTTCTAACATTTTTGCCACTACAACAGGGATAGGAAACAATGATAAGAAATAAGTAGGGAGATTCGACAATGTGGACTTTATGAGAGTAAGATGACCGCCATTTGAGAGGTACATACGCTTCCAACTTGCTAGCCTACTCTCCATCTTTTCTATAATACTGTTCCAAATATGTTTACTCCTAAACCGTGCTCCCAAAGGAAGACCAAGATACGTTATAGGCAATTCTGCAACCCTGCAACCCAAAATAGCAGCCAACTCCTCCACATTATCAACCTCTCCTACTTTGATAGCCTCAGATTTTCCCAAATTTATTTTCACGGCTTCAAAGCACAAGAGCACACGACGTAGGTTCCTGAATTGCTACAGAAGATCAATGTATCGTGTGCAAATAGCAAATGAGATACTTGCAGCTGATCTACCATAAAGTCCCTTAACAAGCCTTCTCCCATGGCCTTCTCAAGCATCCTACTGAAAGCCTCTATTACAATGACAATTAGTAATGGAACAAAGGATCCCTTGCCTCAATCCCCTGCTACTATGAATATAACCCTCCGGACTGCCATTCACCATAACTGAAAAAGAAACTGTAGATATACAAAACTGAATCCAATGACACAACTTATCCCCGAACCACATCGCCTAAGCATATACAAGAGAAATCCCCAATTTACATGATCATAAGCCTTTTGAATGTCAAGCTTACATAGCATTCCTAGGACTCGCAGGCGTAATCTTGAGTCAATACACTCATTTGCTATAAGTACAGAATCTAAGATCTGGGGCCCTTTGATAAAGGCATTCTGAGACACAACTTTCCCCAGTACCTCTTTTAATTGATTTGCCAAAATCTTCGCCTCACTAAGCTAATAGGACGAAAGTCCTTAATATCTGTTGCTCCTGATTTCTTAGGAATCAGCACAATAAAAGTGGCATTTGCACTTCTCAAGAACCTTCCGTGCTGGAAAAAATAAGTAAGAACCTCCACGTTGTCCGATCACACAACTTTCCAAAAGGCCTTATAGAAGGAGAGAGAATCCGTCCAGTCCTGGGGCCTTATCGTCATTTATGCAGAACACCACTCCTAAATTTCATCCTTCCCAAATGATCTCTCTAACCAATTGGCATCCTCCTCAGTAATAGTTGAAAAATATAGCCCCTCCAACTCTAGTCCTCCAATCAAACTGCTCCCGATAGAGATTCTGATAAAATCTTACCATCTGGATCCCGATATCCTGTGGATCCTCATAAGTAATCCCATCACCTCCAACGTAGTGATAGAGTTGTTGCGCCTATTGGAATTAGCAACCCTATAAAAGAATTGGGTGCATTTGTCTCCCTCTTTCAACCACCTGACCCTCGATTTCTAACACCAAGCAGTCTCCTCCACTCTACCAACCTCTCCAATACTTCCCTTAATTCTCCTCGTCTCATCCTCTCATCCCCTATCGATCCTCCACTCTCCTCCCTCCTATCCAACTCTTCTATGTCCAATAGACATAGATTTTTGCGATAGCTAATGTTCCCCACCACCTCCTCATTCCACTTTTTTAGATCTCTCTTCAAGGCCTTCAATTTTCGATCCAGCACGTAACTGGGAGATCCCCTGAAACCATATGATGCCCACCAATTCCGTACTTGTTCCCCAAAACCTTCAACTTTAAGCCACATTTTCTCAAACCTAAACGGCTTTCTTCCACCACGCCTCACATTCCCAGACAATGCAATAGGGAAATGATCTGAATACAATCTCCCCAATCTCCTCTGAGTGACTTCTGGCCTCCCACTCCCCACATACCAGAAACCAATCTATTCGGGATAGGACAGGTTGTTCCCGATTCGATGACCAAGTAAAGCCTCCTCCACTCAAAGGCAGGTCCACCAACATGTTCTTCCTAATGAAGTCTGAAAAGTCCTCCATAGCCCATGTTAATCTCCCACCACTGACCTTTCTAACCACATTCAAATCTTCCCCAATACACGTAGGAATATTCCACCACGTCATCATCACCGTCAATTCAGCCCACAATTCACCTCTATTCCCATCAACATTAGGCTCGTAGACTCCTCTAAACATCCAATAAAAATTATCCCCGATATTTCTAAATGAGAGCGATAAAGAACTTTCAGATTTTTAAAATTATCTTCACGCAATGGCCATATTTTACTGTATGTATGTCTCTTTTTCTTTGGAATAAATACAATCATTCAAAAAGTAGCATTTATTGGTTCATCAAAACAAGTTAGTAAAAAGAAAATGTTAATTATGACTATTAGACTACAGGGGACTTCATTTTCACAAATGATAGCAATGTTAGGTACCAAATTTGTCGACTACAACAAAATAAGAATCCAAATAGAAAATTTTGATGTCAAAAGATGTTTTTCTGAGAAGCTTGCAGTTTTTAATTATGTGAGAAGCACGTCTAAAATGGACCCCATGCCCCTTCTAACAGTGTGTGCTGAATGCAATGATGAAAAATAAAAGCTAATGATAAGCAAAACTGCAAATCTAAAACTAAAACAGAAAAATGGATCACTGAAGAACCTAAAAATGCAGACTCCGTACTTCTAGTTGAAGTATGACTTTGGTCCTCGAGTTGCTGCAGCAGTTTCAGAGATAAAGACCGCCCGGTACCTTCATAGCTTTAGAATAAGGAAATTGAAGAAGAAGTTTATTAGTTATGGACCACTTAGTGGCAGCAAGAGGAACATAAAGTTCTCTCCAAACAAATTAGGTATCATACTCATTTTACCCAAAAACCAAAGAAAAGGAACATCTTTTACCCATTTACTGTAGATGAAAGGAAAACGAGATAAGGTCCAAGCAAGGATTTCACAACAGGTAAAGGAATGGCAGCCGCTTCATCAACAACCAACAATTCAGCCTGGGAGATCTTTTGATGTTCATGTGGCTCTATGTACTGCACAAACATAGGCAGCGGTACAATTAGTATTTTTAGACTTCTAGACAAGAACTGGAGAAGAATCTAACAATAGAAAGAGCAGAACTCGCTATTAAGAGTATGGTATTTAAATATATAAGACAATAATAGCCTAAATAAATCAAAACAAAGCAAAATCAACAGAATTATGTAAATGTGCAACAGCACAATTAGATTATAACAGTACATAAAAGGAGGAAGCCAAAACAATAAATTAGCAGTCGTCGGCAGTAAACGATGAAAGCTTCCAATTTCCATTATCTTCTTCGTTTAAAGTAGGAATAGACCGAGCAAGACAAGCAAATTTGTTGAACACCTATACTCTCAAGTGGAAAAAAGTTTTTGATTGCATGACAATCAACATAAATGTGGGAATATCAACAACTCTTCGCAATAACAGGATTCAGTGATTGAATCCACTCTCGACCACCAACTCCCACCAACTCACAAAACTTCTATATACATTATTTTCTATACCCCATTCCCATAAAATCCCCCCCCCCCAACCAAAAAAAAAAACTCCCCAATGAAACGTAGCTTAACCGAGAATGTAAATTTTAATGTTTGTTAAACAGCGGGGATAATATCCAATTAAGAAAAACTATAATGTGTAACTTGCAATCAATTCTAAGCATTAACAAAATGAAAACATCAGGAAGCATGTACGCACAGCCAGCAAAACTAATAGCACTACTGTCTCCAACCATGTAATAACTCCATTAAAATACAGATTAACAACCTCATATGACAAGTTTTTTTCTATTAAGGAGAAGAAAAGGCACTGTCTACCATTTGACTCACCTGAACTGTCTGTCTGTGCTGTTTATAGATGTTGATCCGTATTGTTGCTTTGTTAAACGCCGGGTTTGTGCTTTTCACCACATCATAATCTGAATGCTCCTGCAAATGAAGTTGCAATGACATGTCAAAAGTATAGATTTTGAGTCTAATTTGGGTCCAGTTAGGCACAGCTTATAAAAAGCCCAAGCTTCTTGTGAAATTAAAAAGCTACTTTTGGATTTGTTGGGATAATTTTCTAGAATTACTTTGATTGGTTAAATAAGCTTTTAGAAAAAAACTAACCTAGGATGGCTTCCTATGGAACAGCTCTTATACAAAAAGTAGAAGCAAAAGCTATCCCAAACAGGCCCTTAACAGTGTTAGATCCAAGTTTAATCCATAAGAACACAAAACATGATCTTCTTTATTCAAGAACAAATTCTCAAGAAGACCATCTGCATACTAATGATTTTCAGCAGATTAGAATTTATTAACACATTATAGAGAGAACAGGCAAGACAAATTCATTGGGAGAACATGTAGAAGTAATCTTTGTATATAAGTAGATAGAAAGGACCAAGGAGACCCCTCTCCTATTATCGATTTCCCCCAAAGTTGACTGCTCTTCAATTTGAACTCCACCATATAATTATTTTGAGTCAAGAAAAGGCAACGCAATTCATTGTTTCCAAATGTAACTGAGGCTTACAAGTTTTTCATCTAAGCGTACCTCATGAGAGGTGTTCATTAGGCACCTCCAAGATTATGGTTCGAGAGCCCCTTGGCAAGTATTATTTCTTTATTCAGTTGCATTTGGTACGGTACAGGGGTATTTTCTGTACGGGTCTTTAAGTCTTATATGGGCCCAAGTTAAGGTTAGTATAAATAATATGTTGTAACCCTATTTTTCACAACTGAAAAAAGAAATATCCGCTTCGCTCTCGTGGACGTAGGCACATCGCTGAACTACGTAAAATTCTTGTGTTGATTTTCGTTTTCATCTCTTTAATATTGCACATAAAATCCAAACTGATGTAGAAGACCAGTAACATGTAACATCAATCTCCTATTTATAGTTTTCTAAGTCTCTTCATTATGTTTCCATTCTTCCAGCAGATTTTTTTTACTGTTAAAGTCAACAAGCAACATTCTAAATCAAAATGTTTCATTTGTTTGGAGTTGTAGTTGTAGACTTCTTGTTTCAACTATAGAATGCTGGTATTGTAATGTGATCATCTGTTGCTTTTGTTAATCCATTTTATGGATCTAGACGCAGAGAGAAAGCATTTAATAATCGATCTTGTTATGTATGGTTATGATAGAACAGATAAGAAATGAAAACATGGCTCACAAGTGCAGATGGCATCAATAGAAGATAAGTAAGAAAATAACAATGTATGTCCTTGGGGCATGTCTTGCATGGACCTAAAGAGGCTCTTTCCATAAGAGTGATGCAATTTTCCATAATAAGTGGGAAGGGTAGGAAAAAAAATTACATGGCATGTTGTAGATGCTAAGATCTAGTTGCTTTCATATGCCAATAGATGTAACAACTAGCACTGAACCAAGCAAAATGGCAAAAAGGATTCATTTAGCTAAACCCAAAATTTATGGTGCATGTTAAATATTAAAGGCACACGAATGCAAAATGCCTCATGCCACAAAGATGCCTCAATAACCAATCATGTCTGCAGCAAATAATTCATATTGTTACAAATGATTGAATAGGTTTTCCATGGCTGGTGGTACTTTTGCTGACAGTAGCAATGGATGGGTGTGTGTAAATCAAGCAAGGTAATGACTCTATTGATGGTGGATATCAAAAAATCACAATTGGGAGGCAAGAATCAAAACTATTGGGGAGCATTCCTTGGAACCTCTGATCAAAATTGTGTTTCTGATTTTTATTTTTTTTCTTTTCCTTGTCCATCTACCAGACTATTCAGTAGGAAATAGCCGTGCATAATTTACTCTAGAGATAACTATCCTTTATAAGTTGTCCAGTGGGTGAGTTATCCATAGTTTTTGATGAACATGACAGAAGGGCTTGAGGATAATATGGTATATATCTGTGAAATTTTATTTTACAATCTATTAGAATTGTGTAATAGATCAGAGCGATGAAATTCAGTGGTAAGAGATTGGAAGTGAAACCATGGATCAGCCAAATGGCAATTAACATTGCAGAACTTCAAAATTTTCTTGCAAGAAGAAGACCAGAATTCATAGTTTGCTCTCTTTTGTATTTTCATCATAATCGAAAAGTTGATGTGGAATATACATTCCATGATAACACTTGGCATTGCAAAAGGCTGCAAGTGACATTTTCAGTTTTATAAATGTAATAGACTTGAAATAGAAGAAAGAAAAGCAGAGAAAAAATATATTTCATGGTAGGGTTTCCATTTTTGTCCACATAATAAAAATAATGTTCAAGAAAGCCAATGACATTAAAGCAGACTCGAGGTAAATTGGGGTTTATGTTTTGTTAAGGGAGAAAAGTGTAAGAAAAGATAGTTCAAGAGAGTTACGTACAACTTACTCTTAAATACATAAAATTAAAAACATTGTACTTCAGAAATTGCCCTTTGTACAATGACAAGGGTCAATCCTCAAAAGCAATACAGAATTCATTACACTGAGATCTACCGTAAGAACCTTTAGACTTCTAGTTAAAATGCATCTAGTATTTAAACACCAAGGACTAGAATACTGTACCTTGTACTCAAGCATATCAAACCCCTTGCATATGAACTCAAACAAAGTTTTCAGATTCTCCGGACCCGGAGCTGTTACGAAGATATTAGAGTACCTTCAGAGAATTATTCTTCATCAGGACAACCAAAAAGAGGAGGGTGTGAGGTGATGATTGTGGGTTTATGCTAAGTATATCTAGTTAAACTACATTACCCCGCAGCGACAGCTCCAGCAATTGCCAAGCCAAGAGCTGCTGACTTCCCACGACCACGAGCAGCAAGCAAAGCAACTGTGCTACGGAGAGTCTTGTCCAAAATAGCATCAAGAAATGTACTGACAGCTATTCCCTGTTGAATTATTTTTTCTAGAAAAGTAAGTATTGCATAATCAAAATATGCGATAAATGTTCCTTATATATTTCCAAGCAGAGAATTCTTACCTGGTCAACTGTGCAGCATTTTCTAATTAAATAACCAACAGGGAAATCATCTTTCAGTTGTTCCTTCAAATCTGCCAGGTTTCTTTCTGCCTCAGAGAGACCCTCAGAACCCTATCAGACAAGACATTGAATATCACATTATTACATAAAACACCTACTTCCAAAACTGCTAAACTACGTGTGGGACTTGACATCCAAAAAGCATATTTTAATTTTCAAGACCATTGCATTCAGAAGAGAAGTAGCTTACATCTCGAACAGGAGCTGCGGTGATTGCTCTCATATGGGAAGAGATTGGTAAAATGTTCAATTCATCGTCCATGACGATGCATGCTCTGCAAGACCCAAGTGACAGCAAGAAACGTTCATTAAAGCGCCCAGTAGCCTGAGTATGCGATTCTGTACAAAACCTCTCGTGAACATCCTGTGATTAGGAAAATTCGACACCGTCAAGAGGAATAAAATCAACAAAATGAAAATTCAGTCCACACAAGCTTTTCAGCTATCAATAATTCTTTTTGTTTCATCAAAATCCAACTTCCATTTTGAGGATTATTCCAAATTTAAATGTGTTCTTACCATAACCATGGTGTGGAGACTGGTGAGCGAAGATAATGAGCGAAGCAGTAACACGATCAATCCACCACCTTCAACTGTTTCTATTGTTCTAGCTAGTAGATTTGGGGTCAAAGATTCAAAATCCTAAAAACCATGTAAATAGAAATAAACTGGAACAATGAGAAGTCTGATAGAAATAGCGGGGAAATAGAGAGAGTGGCAGGGAGGGAGGAAGTGAATGCGGTAAAGCATCATCAAGAATTGTAGAATACAATAAGTTGGAAAAGAAGAGCTTTTTCTAGTTTACCTGTAAAATGCACATGCCAAATGTCTGCCCTAGAACTCTTTCAGAATCTTTGTATAAGCAATAGGTTATACCGCCAGTTTTAATGAAAAGTGAGAAAGCATCAACTTTCTCAGGGTCCAGTAATCCTCTTTGCATCAGCTTCTTTATTTGTTTTTCTCGTTTTCTTTCATGACTGCAAAATCAGAATTAACCGTAATCGAGATTGGCGGCCATATTAATTTGTTTGGCCAAAAAAACACAGTTTTCAAATTTGCAGAGGTGAAGCCACAGGAGAGACACGAATGCATCTGGTCAAAATCATGGAATGCACAGATACAAGTTTCCATCGTATAAACTTTTTTACGAGTTCAGATTACATTTTCATGTCCTTATTACTGTTTATAGTGGCGCATATTGGTTTCAATTGTCTATTGATCTTAGTACTAAGTTATGCCAATATGTAACATGGCATGACTTCAAAATACTATCCGAGAGCAAATGCACAGATAACAGCGTTAATTGCATAACTATCAGCTTGCAAAGTGTGGCTTCCTAAACCACTTGCCAACAATTCCAGTGGCGTGAACTTCGGAATCAAGTTCATGGGATAGGTTGTTTGCGATCAAATGGTGAAAACCATGTTGTCTCAAGTGTGTGCAGAATACTCTCCAAATTAAATAGTGGGGTTTGATCTTGACCATAAGGGCAGCATGCTATAAAGATTTATGATATTTTTTGTGCTAAGGTGTATATAGTTGGAGAGGAACTCAAAAAGTTCCAAAACCAGTATTTCCTAGTGCTATGGATCATAATCATATTGCTTTTTGGATTTCTTGATGTGTAAGGCCTTTAAAACTTTTCTAGCAATCGCTTATTAAGAAGAAATGACAAAAAGCTCTTTTTGGGGTATGAACTATTCCTTTGTATCCCTTGCTCCTTCCTTCTCTTTCAAGGAGAACATGCGTTGATGTCTCATCCGAAAGCTTAAGTTATTAGATAGGCCATATTTATTTATTAAAATTTTAGCCTAAACTAGCCCCCTTACATGTATGTAAATAATTTTTCATAAAAGAGTTGCGCCCACATTTGAACTCGGGTATTTTTCCAGACTCTAATGTCATGCAAACCAACACATCTAATAGCTTAGCCATATTTATTCATTTAAATAAATTGTAGCTTCAACAAAATGTATGCATTTTAGTATTTCATCCAAAAAAGTACTCTTCTTATCAAAGAAAAAAAAAAGTGATGTTAGTTCATACATCAAACATTATCAGTTCCCAAGTATCAAAGTTAAACTATATTTCTTTATACTAAACTAATTAACTAAAGCACGCTAAAACAAAAACATCAAAATCAAATAACTGGAGAAACTAGAAACCTGCTAATTTCTAGCTTGTTCTTGTAGCACCACAACACATTCGGCCTCGATTTCACCACAGATTTGCTCAACATATAATGCAAGTTTACAATCTGTTTCAAAACAATAGTACAAATAAAATCAATTAGAATCACCAAAAAGTTACCAAATATCACAATATAATGCAAGCATACATAACAGGCCGCAACGAAACTTTTAAATAACTAGTGCTTCAAATTAGGGAAAACGATAAGTCTCCAAATTTTCGATTTTTTTTGGAAAATATTAAAGAAACCCAATGGGCGGAATTCAACTGAGAATAACTTAATTGTGGATTTCAGCTAGAAAACAAGTTAATTGTAGATTTTAACCCTTTTACTACAAAACTACAAAAAAATAAATATTCCTAAAAAATAAATTACAATTTTTTATAGTATATTTTGAGAGTCCTTAATTCAGAAACTTTTCTACCTTTCGTCGCTTCCGTTTCCATGCAGCCTAACATAGTATATACAAAACACAGGAAGACGTGCTTTTGCGTGAGTACCTGGTCGCGGGACTTGTCACCAACAATGACGAACATGGAGCGATGACGATTTTTAACGCCATTTTCTATGAGGGTTCTGATGCGTTCGTCCACTTTTATCCTCATCTTGCTGATTACAAAAACCGAAATTAGCCGCAGAATTGATAGAATACGGTCTCTTTGAAGTTACTACACTGAATTCCTACTGCAAGAATGAATAATTTTAACAATTAGCAGAGAAAAATCCAAAAACTGCGGATTCGGCTTCAGTTTCGATTATTTGTTCCTCTGCTTAGTAACCAAGGGTTTAGGGTTTACGTGACTTTTGGGGAAATTTAGACGTTATGGGTTAAACAGGCTTTTTAGTGTGAAATTGGGTCGGACTGTACGTGTTGGGTATGGGCTTTATTTGGACCAGTATTGTTGAACACTTTCATTATGGACCGCCCATGTTAATATGGACTTTACTTCAATGCGGGTCGATCAATGAGTGCCAATTCAAGTAGGCATGTGCTCGGTTCGGGTTGAGTCAATTCGACCTTAACCCGAAATCAAAACCAAATCAGTTTGGACGAACTTCGACCCAAATCAACCTAATTCAGCTCTTAAATCAAACCAACCCAAACCAACTCCATATGAATTGGTTCAGTTTCGGTTAGTCGACTTCGACCCATCCCAAAACCAAAATCAACTAAGTAGATTTGGGTGAATTTCAATTCAGATTGACCTTAATCGGTTCTTAAACCAACCCAATTTAAATTGGTCCGGTTCGATTAGTCGGTTTTTGGACTTTGGCTCAAATTGAATTTTTAAAATAAAAAATTGTGATGGATTTTGGCGTGCTCTTTAGTCTTCATAGTCAATGAACAAACGATTAAAACTTAAACAACTATGTAGTAACCTAAAACACTTGAAATTGAAATTTGAAATAATACAAGCATATAATTCATGAATTGTAATTAACTCAAGTCCATAAAGCTGTAATTAGATATGGGGATTCAATTTCGCAATTAACACAAATTCATAAAGTTCAACCAAAACAAATTCATAACCTTTAATTGAAACATGATTTTAGTAGTAGTGGGCAAGATTTTTCACAATTTTAAAAATATAAAATAACCTATATAATCATAACCTGCATAATAAAAGAAATTCTTAACATGTACAACCAGATCAAAATCCTTGCTGCAAGATTCTTCATTAGTTTCCATTGATTTCAAATAAAAGAAACCTCAGGTGCTAGGTATGGTAGTGGATTGGATTAGAGACGGGGCACCCCTACTGTAATACATTACGTTAAAAAAATAATAATATTAAAATAAAATAAAATAAAATATAGTAAATTGAGGGTGTATCAATCCAATTCCACCCAAACCAAATTAATAACACAACACACACAACACATAGAAAATAAAAAAGGGTGCAGAGAAAGGGAAAGGGAAAGAGGAGAGAAAAAGAGAAAGGAAAAAGAGGAAAAAAAGGGAAAAATTTGCCAATGTGTTAGGAATTAAGTGCTCTATCCTACTAGACTTGAATTTCTCAATTTTGAAAGGTAAGTAAAAAGTTACTTATTGTTAAATTATGTTTGATTTTATAGTTGTTAAATTGTTAGGTTATATTTAATTTTATTAAAGGGGTTAAATGTAATAAACTATGAAATTGAGTAAAATGAAAGAAAAATTAATTTTAGTAATTAAAGAGACTTTAGAAATCGCCTAAACGTGAAATAATTATGTTTGGGTATCGCCTATTTAATTATTGAAATTACTTAAATTAGTTAATTGTTGATTTAAAAATTATATTATATTTCAGGAGGCGATACGGATATCGGGACAACGTACCAATCGAATGGATTTTGGCGTACATAGTTCTGCGAGTGAAAAAATATAAATATTTTTAAAGTATTTATAAATTAAGCTTATTGTGCAATTATGTATTCGAATTATCTGGTTATTATGGAAATCTCTTTTATTATGATACATGTGGAATATCAAAGATTATTTATGGCATATTTGTGACTTGCTATGTAAGACATATGATATTAAGATTTGTTTGGTATGTGAGACATGCAATATTGAGATCGGTCAGACAAGTATCCATGAGTATATACTTCTTCTAGTTCATAGAGGAGCATTGGTCGTGTTCTATCCTACACGGAAGGTCTTGACCTGACACTGATTTTGATCGTGTACATATAGTTCACAGAGGGGCCTTGGCCGTGTTCTAGAATTGATTATGAAAGGTTTTTGAGACCGACTTTCATTCACGGAGGGGACCAAAGACCTGTGGCGAAAGTTCTTAACCCGATAGGTGAATTATATATTTTAGTCAGAAGGTACATTTTTTGTAGATTTTTCAGCACGTTTGATGTGATGAGATTATAGCATGGTTATCAGCTAATGTTATATCATGATTTTAAGATAATATTTTTATGACCTTATGTGAATATTTCACTTTTTGACTATAATTACATAATGGTAGCTTGTGAATTATCAAATGATATGAATTTGATTTTCAATAAAAATGTATAAATAAAAAAGTATATTTATTTTGAATTTTTCCACTCACTGAACTATTAACTCATATATCTTTCCACGTTTTTCTTTATCAGGCAGCAGTTGAGAATCTGGGCATCTTTTGGAGTTGAGCCTTGATTTTGGAGTCAGAGCCACACGACAGAGTTTGTTAATATGACTCACTTCATAGAACATGAAGTCAGTATTTTAGGACGCATGTTCATATCTAGATGTAATTTTGCATCACTTGTAGATAGTTATGGGGCTCACTATGCATTATGTATCAATATGTATATTTCATTGTATTTCTTGGTAAAAATGGAGATTTCAACTTATCTTTATTGTACTGTGCAATAGTTTGGGATTTGTGTCAAATTGATCACAGGTTGGTTAGTCCTGTTTACAAGGGAGATAATGTCGAAATTTTGTTAGAAAAATAATGTATAAAAAGTGATATATTGTATTTGTAGTAGCCTTGATGGTGGGTCCGACTTTTAATTAGTATCTATCGTCGGCGCATGCCACGTCCGGATCTAGAGATGTTACACGGGGCGGGGTGTGTCACCTACCCTGCCTTGTGTTGATTTCAAAGAAAAGAAGCCTCAGGTACTAGGAATGATAGTGGGTCGGGTTCAGGACGAGGCACCCCTACCCTGCCCCGCCCCGCTCCATCCGAGACAAGAGCTTGCCCCGTTTGTTGCCACGCATATTTTTTATTTTGTTTTTTACATTTTGAAAATTTCAAGCTATGCTATTATTAGAGAATAAAAATTATAAAATACAAATTCAAAATTTTAAAATCCAAAACAAATAATGTTCAAACTAACAACATCAATAACACACGAAACAAACAATGTCCAAAATAAACAATTGCACATAGAATTACATCGTAATTAAATTTCATTTCTTTATCCAAAATTTGATATTTTTCCATCTTCAAAACTTCATTTGTCAGCAGAGTTAGAGATTACACAAGATGGATCCTGAAAAAGGAAAGAAATATAATACTCAATATCATCATAATAACTACGATTAAAATTTACATTATCTGATAAATAAAATTACCTCCTCATCAACATCCCCATAATTTATTTTGGAACAACACCCAAAATATGTAGATGGCGCACACTATTAATAAAGTAAAAAAAAAAAATAGTAATAAGAGAATTCATAAAAGGAACAAGATGAAAAGCAATTATTTATATACATTATACCGTGAATATTGGCTCATAATCAATCTTGTGTACACATTAAAGCCTTCAAAGTTTTGGAGCGAAGCCTATTTCTGTGTGGACTAACAAATCTACCACTAGTACTAAAGGCAGATATGAACACCACTGTAGATACTGGATAGCCAAAATATCTTTTGCAATTTGAGATAAAATCGGATATTTGGTTGCATTTACTTTTCACCATGTCAATATATCGAAATCATCCAACCGAGGCAATATAGGCTCATCCAAGAAAATATCAAGCTCCATTTTCAAATTACTAGGAGCTTCAACATTGGAAACAAATCTATAAAAACCCGCCACGCGATCTAATTCATTATTAGCACTTGACGTCTCAGTTTGACAATAAGAAGTAGAAGATTGAGCTACAGGCCCACTTGAATCATTCTTTTTTCTGATAATCGTGCACTAACTTACTACACACTTGATAAATTTTTTATATCTCACTTGCAGTGTTGTGATTAAAAATATGATGATAAGAATACCTAACTAACATCATAGTATACCTTAGATCCAACACTACTGCTAAAGCCAAAACTTCATGAATATCGCTTCAATACTTGTTAAACGTTTCAATCATACTAGTTGGCAAGTCAAATTGTTTAAAAAACAAAAAATTATTTCTAGAGGTGGGTTCAGAGAGCCCCAACTCCATCCCTATCAGGTACAAGCTTTTGAGAGGGTGTTGTCTTGTTTGTTGACCTGTTTATTCTTCTTCTTCTTTTTTTTCTTTTTTATCTTTCAATGGAAACCGTTAAGTGTTATTTCTGTAAAATTTCTGTTGATTTTTTTGTTCTTATAGCATTGTTGGATTTCAAAAGCTTTGAAAAAATAAAAACAATTGAGCTAACAACAAATGAAAATGAAACACGTGTAATTAATACACTTAGTGAAATAGTTAATTACCTTCATCAAATTTTTTATAATACCATAATTTCCTTCATCAATTTTTATAATACCATTGCATCCTCCATGTAAAATTTGTCCTCATTTGGAGTAAATTTGAGCCAATTTCGTGTGCAAAACCAAAACCTCGACAATTCTATTAGTTGGTTCGATTTGTCGTGCTCGGGCCTATATTTAGGAGGGGATTACTCTAGTAAGGGTGCAATGGGCCCATATCGATTGACGTATCAATTGATCGGATCGTGAAGTTTCCATAGGTAGCTTAGGCTAGCATTTAAACTACTCTAGGGCCAAGTTGAGCCTGATCCTAGCTCATGGGCTTTACCATTTAGCACTAGTTTGTCAATCGATCGGATCGTGAATTTTCCATGGTAGCTTAGGCCAGCATTTAAACTAGTCTAGGGCCAAGTTGAGCCTGATCCTAGCCCATGGGCTTTACCATTTAGCACTAATTGGCCATTGTAACGACCTGCTTTCTAGAGTCTGTTAATTTTATAGTTTTTATATTTTTTTAGCTAGCTCTACATGTCTCGATTCAACTCTACATAGGAAAGTCTATATCCCAAGCCCAGAGCCAAATTGAACTTGGTTGGTAGTAGGGGTGAACGCGGTTCGATTTGGGTGATTTGTGCTATATTTTCAACTTAAACCATTTTATACGATTTGAAATTTTTTCAAACCAAATATAACCATTTTATTTTTCGAACCAAACCAATCCAAACCATAATTTGCGGTTTGGTTCAATTTTAATCCTTCGGTTTACCTATCGTCTATCGACATTATAGTAATATATTTAACATAAATTAACATATAGTTTAAACGAGAACTAATAATGTTAAATGTTAAATTACATTCATTTTTATCATGAAACCCATGAATAAATTATTTTTAAAGTTGATTGCTAAAAGATGTTAATAGAACAAAGACATCTTTCTTCATTTTTATTTACCTTTTTTTGTTTGACATTCATATTTTTATATAACAGTTGGTAAATGTAGAGTTACATTCTACTATTATAGTTTGGTTAAAACTCATTTTGTCTTGCTAGTGAGATGTTAAATAAGGATTGAATGGGGTATTTTTAGATGTACAAAGATTGATAGAGTTTCGACTTATTGAAAATTGACGAATTTCATTCTCTAATTACTTTATGAAAGAGAAGGTAGTAGTACTAGTTAGGGAATTTTAAAATTTTCACATAATTAATACGATCAGTTCCTCATTCTTTTCAAACCAAAAGAAGTTCATTAATCATTTAGTCACACAAAGCAATTATTTTTATATCAAACCACAATTCACAAGTGTATAATAAGTTCAGAAACAAAAAATAAAAGAAAGAACAACGAAAAAATGGCTTGAATGAAAATCTGAGACTTACCGAAATAGAACAGAGAAAGAGGTGATTCGGGCAGAAATTAGCAGACTAGCATGTAAAGGCGATTGATGATTCGTTGAGCAGTGGCAGACAAGCGTCAAATGTTAGGAAAATGAAAGTTTATGTTCGAGCTTCTAAAACTTTTGATGTGATTTGCTGATGTAGTTTTGTTGAATTATGATTTGGATTGTTGAAAATATATGTTTTTTTCATTTCATATGATATTGGAATAATTTTAATTTAGTTTAGTTTAGATATCGGGTGAGAACATGTGTTGTGAACTTATTAAACCATATGTCAATAATGATGAACCTAATTTACTTTCATGATTATTTCAATAGGTTGGTAGTAATTTGTATTTAATTGGTAGTAATTTGTATTATTAAATTTGATTTTTTTTTTTTGAAAACTGAAAACTGTAAAATTTTTAAGTTAATAAAATTAATGTTTTAATTGAAATAATTTAAAACGGTTCGGTTCGATTTTGTGCGGTTTTTGAAAATCAAAATCTAAACCAAATCATTTTGAAACGATTTGGTGGTTTGAGGAAAAAAATCACGGGTCCACGTGGACCAAACTAACGATTTCACCTCAACGTTTTCAAGATTTATGATTTCGCGATTTTTTTTTTTTTTTTTTTGGTGCAGCCCTAGGTGGTGGGCACATGGATAGCTTGGCACAGACCATTGCCAACTCTATATTACTATCCATCATGGAGCCCAATATCTTATTACAAAAAAAATTTAAGTGAGTATTTTTTTTTCAATTATTGTAAAATCAAGATAGAGAGAGAAAAAAGAAAAGGAGGAAAAAAAAAAAAAGGGGAAGTGAATAGGCTGTAAAGTTGAGATAGGTACAATAAGGGAGGGAAAAACATTCTAATATATTTGGTCAATTGCAGTTATAACTATTTTAATATATTGAGAGCCTGATTGAAGTAGATTTTTTCATAATATAATTTGCTCCTGCTTGGTTTGGCTAAAAATTAAACTTGTAGTAAATTTTGATAAAAGTTAATAAAATCTGTGATTAAAAAGTTGATCCCATAAAATATATGGTTAAAAATGAGTTTTGAAAAATTGGGACCAAACATGAACTTTATAAAACGTGATTTTTTTGAAAAATATTTAATTAAAAATTAGGAAAAAATTGTTAGTCCACATATAAATTTTTTTAATCGAGAGAACATATGATTAGATAAATTTTAGAGAATCTCTACTAAATAAGAGTTGAATATATTCTACCCATTAAAGATCGATGGTTTCCACCTCCCCACCTTCATTTCCTATCGACTCACTAGCCACCTTCCCTACTCACCTCTATTGCAAAGGAACTACAACATTATATGCTTGTAAATGCGCTCCTGCATCAAGTGTCCCGCTTCAAATGGGAACGATAAACATGATACTCACTCCGACTCTCATTTGATATATTTTATGGGACGGGGGAAGTAAAAATAAATGGAGCACAATTACCAGAAATATAAAGTAAATTCAAATTTTAAATGGAAGTAGAATTTACATCAAATTGATAATTTCAGTTTCATGAGGGAGGAAAAATAGTTAATTCAGTTTTGGAAATGAATTTAGGGGGAAATAGATGTCCATAATTTAGAAATTAAGTTCATATTTCACAAGAGGGCCCCAAAATCAACCCCCAAATATATTTGTCCTTGAATATCTATGTACACATTCATTATACATCTTTTACAATGTATTTTTTTCGTAAAACAAAATTTTCACTCGTACACACATTGAGCCCCCCAACTTGAAAGAATAAGCAAGGAAGATAAGTGATGGCCAAAAACCGCATGGTTTTCACAAAGAATGAACTCACCAGGCCTAAGTAACTATATTATTTTAAAACAGTTCTACATTGATTATACTAAAATAATTTTGGAAGGAAAACTCAAAACTCAACTCTGAGAATCACCTAGTATTCACAAAATGTGATGGTATCATTTTGTTGCAGGCCAAACCCAATTCTGATTTGTCGTCTATGATTTCAACCGGTGGCTGCACTTATCTAGTCGAGCGTACAAGTCATGCACACTGATTCTCCTGTACTTGAATAAATCACATCAGAGGGAGATATGCCCCTCCATGCCCTTTCCTCAGAACCAGGGGTCCG